CGGGCTAGCAGGCTGCACCCTGGACCTCAAGTGTGATGGGCGCCGCGTGGTGTTGGGCCCCGCGTGCGCTGCTCCCCGCACGTGGCGGCAGTCGTCCCCATACGTCGAACCGAGCCGGAGCACCCCCACTTCCCCCTCGAGCCGGCCCTCTCCGGGCTCCTGCCTGGACCCCGTATTCGTATTCTCAGACTCACCAGAGCCCTCGGAGACCCCGCCGTCCCAGCCAGAGCCCCCGTCTGGGGAGGGCCGCGTGGTTGTATCACGAGAGGCGATGTGTCCAGGGGCACATACACTTCCCTGTCTGCTGGGTAGGCTCGCCCCACAAATGAGGAAAGGGCGCCTGGCGTCCCCTCCTGACAGACACCCCTATCTGTCTCTTGATTTCCCGGGTCTTTTTGGCCAAGAAATGGGTAAAGAGAACCATTTCTCTTCTATTAGAAAGGCAACAATCTAAAACAGTGACAAATGGCTTCAACCCACAGCATGAGTGTTGAGGGGCTCCAAGACCCGCCCCCAATCCCAGCCCTGCTGGGGAATGGACCTAAGGCCCAGCGGATGGCTGCCTTTGGGAAACAGATCAAGCAGAGGCAGGCCCAGGACGCTGGTCAGGGCTGGCCCAGGAGAGCAGAGCCTCCTCCGGGCACAGATGGAGAACAGAGCTGGAGAGGTGACCTGTCCAGGCACACGGCCCGGCCCACTCCGCGCTCCCCGGCACTTGGATGGGAGGCCAAGCCCCTTGATGGTGCCTGGATGCCTCTCAGACATGATGCTCTGCCTCAAGGAGGCTGCACGTCTGAATATACAGCAGGGGAAATTCGTGGAGGGTCTGGGAGAGACGCAGGCCTCCCATGGGCACAGCTGCACCTGCCCAGGGGTGTTCACAGGTCTCGGGCGCCCTGGGGGGTGTATCCTGGGAACCAAATGAGAGAAGGTACGGAGGAGTTTGCCGGGCTTCTGTTTGTAGCTGGCACCCCAACGTGGCTCCCCGTAGCTTCTGGCTCCAATGGATGTGGGCTTCCTCCTGAGCGACCCTGCTCTTCTTGAGAGCCCTCGCCCTGTGGGACAACCAGGGACGGGGCTGCCTGCTGACACTGCAGCGGGAACAGCTGCCAGTAAACAATGAGCAGCGGCGGCGGCGGCCCTTCTCTCCAGGATGTTTTCAGAGTGGACTCCTGGCCGGGGTTTGAAAGGTGCTTCCCCTTTCTCTAAGCCAACGCCCTCTGTCCTCAGATGCAGAGGTCCCGCTGCCAGTCTGCGGCCCTCTCGGCAGGACAGCACAGTGGTCAGGACAGCTTCCTTTCTCCTCAGTGTCCTCGTGTCCCCAGCTTGACTGCAGGCTCTTCAGATTAACCTCCAGTAACCTTTAAGAGCGTTGTCTAAATGCTCTCATTAACTCCATGAAAGCAGGACCTTGCGAGGGTTCATGTCATTTCACCTCTCTGAGCCTTAGTTTCCTCAGCTTTAAAAT